TAGATTTTGCATACATTTTGTTTTTCACCTGTGAACTGAATACTGTAGGACAACAAGTTTATGGCCTAGCATCTGCGGGACAGCCAGACAGTCAAAGATGAACTTTGACTGGCCCAGAGCTAAAATGCCTGGGGGCAGCTGCGTAGCTCAAGTAACTGATTAGAAACTGATACTGAAAAATGGCTGAGAACTAAACTTCAAGAGGTCACAAAAAGATTAAAAGCAAAGCAATGTCTTTTTCCACCACAACCCAGGTCATTATGGAGTATGATCATAGCCTTCCATAGCATTGCCTAGCAGAACTAGCACCACTCCCCCCTCAGTACATCGAGAGTAATGTAGATTTCTAAGGAATGAGCTGCATCTATATAAATATCTAATGTTTTAGAATATCAGCCTTGTTTGCCTGGATACTAACATGCTTCATGGAGTTCTACTGGGTAATAGTGCACAGTGCCAAAGAAATTTCTTTCCTTCTCCCCTCACTGCTGCTCTCTTTTCTTCAGCAAAAGAGAATTCATATCCTAGATGTATTTTGCCTTCTAAACTGAAGGAAGCAGAGCTGGTCTGGAGGGTCCCATACCTTTCCACACCACTGGATCACAGGTCTCTTTCTCCAGGAATCGTCAAAATACTTCAACTCTCTGCCACTTGCCTGTCTGCATCCTTTAACTTCCCAAAAGCAGCACAGGGATGCATGCTGCAGGCTCTGGAGTACTAGGCAGCCAGATATTGAAAATGAGCAGTCAGAAAATGCAGCATTTCACTCAAGCCAGTAACAAGACAAGTTCTGGCTGCCTGATCAAACCTCTGGCACAGCTGGCAAGACGTCCATCCTAGTTTTGTGGTTTCATGTGAAAACATAGCGTGGGTGCGGTGATAAGAACAAATTTAACAGGGAGATTAGGGAAGGAAGCTGTCAGAAAAAACCTTGACATCCACAAATCCCTGAACCCATAATGGGATATTTACATGACTGAAACACGGAGAATTCCACTCAGGCCAGCACTGTGCACTAAACACTCACTGAAGAGCTATGTTAGTGTACCTTGAACAGTGCAGATTGATGGTACTTGAAGAAAAACTAAGTTTGTACAGCCAGAGAAGTGCAGACTCTCATTGTTTAGGTAGGCAAGTACAAATGGGCATTTGTAATGATTCCTTTCCGCTACGTTCGATGTCTTGCAATTCGATGTCCTGTACAAGTGCTGACACCATGTACAGCTTTTCTTGACAGCCAAATAAAAAAATAACCAGAGCCCCACCCTGAAAAAGAAACCCCACAGCGAACTTAAGTGTGATAATAAAAGTGAGTAGCAGCAAACACTGTCCAAACTGTCAGGCTATAAACAATGCTCATGAAACCTTCACGGCCAGAATCAATAACAGGAAAGGCCATCGCTTGAGAGCCAAGCACCATTAGAAAAATAAAAAGCTTTCTGTCTCAGAGCATTTATGTCTAGATTTCACGTTCCACTGCTTCTTCCATGGCCTTATAGACTAAACAAGCAAGTTCACTTCTATTTCCAGTGCTGCAACAGCAAAACCAAGCCACAGATTGACTGGTAAGGCACTCCATGACCTTGAAACGTATTCTGTAGAGCCACGTGACTACTTCACATAAATGTCCAAGATCATCAAAATTTAGGGCTTAAGTTTTCCCATCACAACGGTCAATTTCCTAATGCACATATATGTCTTTTCCATTTGAAAGGATTTCCAGTGTTTCAAAACTTTTATGCAAATTAGGTAACTGAGTGTACCCATCTCTATGATCTTTATGGAAACCAGCTTTGTTTTTCCATAGTAGTAGAACACTCCACTCCAGTTTCATTGCTGCAAGCCATGTCTAAAAACATAAAAATGATCTTCTAGCACAGACATTTTCCTGGTAACCAAGTCCCAGGAGATTTTGCCTTTCTCCCGTTTTGTTCTTATTTGATTGAAAATTACTACCACTAGTGACTGCTCCCATATTTTTCAGGTTAACTGTTCCTCTTCTCACCAATACAATCTTTGTAAAATTATTTTTGTTGGAAAAAAGTATATTTCATTGTAAATTTTGGGCGGGTGACTAAACTGCCACAATCTTTTTGTACTTAGGTAAATTAACTCATTTGTGCCTAGGAAAAATGATTTTTCAAGGTGAGATTAATCCAACTTCCCAAATATTGTGGAGGTGCCTTTTGTTCAAGACATTGGGATACTCAATCTTTAACAGGGTTCTATGCATATGTCAGCTGGCTGAGATCACATGCTGATAGGGTTAGCTTGTATAAATACTGAATTGTGCAAAGCAAAAGCCAGCTTAAAGCCTCTGACCACAATTTTTTGAAAAGCCCCTAATCATCTAAGAAACAACACTATTAAACAAAATAATTACTTTTCAGTCTGTCATTTATTTTTCCCATATAACTCTAGCGAGGCTGAATGGATCATCAATGCAAACTAATAGCTCACATCAAAAAGCAACTGTCATACTGAAGAGGAGATTCTATGAATTGTATAAGTTTAGAGCAAAAGCATCATCTGTGAAAGTTCTCACTTGCTAACAAAGAAGCTGTCTGACCTATTTGTGCTTAATAGTATTTCATATCACTTTTTGACGTTTTTCTTCTTTTCAGAATGGATCTTAACTCATCTACATCTATTACGTATGCAAGCATATTTCAATCTGTGGAACACACTGCTTGCTTTGGCTGTTCATTTTCCACATAAATTCATTATCTGGATCACATACTATTGTTTTGGAACCAAGACATAAGGCAAGCCTTAAAAAAATAAAAGCAGCAATAAATAGAGCAAGAAAGCAATAAATAATAATACTTCCACTAGAATTATGTGGACAAAGAATAATGCATACCACAATAAATAAAGCCTTAGAAGTCTGAAATTACTTTAAAAAAAACCTAACAATTACTTCAAATCATTAAACAATAAATAAGCTGTCCTGGATGCTGTAAAACACTTTTTTTTTTTAATGATGTGGCCACTAGAGTTGCTGGTGGTGTAATTTAGAGGTCAGCAAGTACAGAAGCACAACAATTACTCACATGAAATAACCCTGCCAACACTTGATCAAAATTACTGTTTTAAGTGACTCGCCTCTGTGATATGTATTAGGATAATCTGGTTTTGTTAGTCATGGATTTGGGAACCCATCCTCTGTGTGGAAGGAGAGGTGATGGTTTGTAGTTTTAAACACCAAGCCATAGAGGTAGCCCCTGGACTGCTTTTCAGGTCCAGTATCCAGGAAAATTAACTCCAAATGTGCAACATGCCAAAGCACAATAAGAAACATTTTCTCTCAATGTAAAAACACAAGGATCCAATAGAAAAGCAGACAGAAGTTCTAAAAGAATTTTCTTTAACTTTCAAACACAAAATAATCCAGAACAATGTAAATCTTTTTAAAAAAGATATACATATATTCATAATATCACTAGCATTCACTGGAATGGAGCAAAAAGAAGCTGGAGTGGGCCATAAGGTGAGAATTCAACTAAAATCAAGATAGTGCCCCATCTTCCCTCAACAACTTTAGAAGACCATTTTCTTCTGGCTTCTGATATAAAGCCCATTTTAGTACATTTAGGATTAGGCTCCTGGTCTCTCTTTAATTTTGGCTGCAAATCTTGCCTAAGCACACTAGAGGCACACATACACATCATACCAGGTGGCAGAAATTATTCCGTGCATCTCCCTACCTTGCTTGCATTCATTGAAACAGCTAGACCACACCCTTTGAGAAAAATCTCAAAGATTTTTCTTTGAGAAAATCTGGAACATCAGAAAATCTGAAGACGTTTAATTCAAACTCTTTTCCAGGAAATACGTAAGTTATACATTTCCAGGAAATACGTAAGTCTACCCAGTGTTCTCACAGAAGCTAACAAATATGTTGCAATTTTGTTAGCATCTTCTACTTTGTGTACTTATTTTATATGTTATCTGGAACACCCACTTAAAGACAAACTTGAGATGTACAAAGCCACATGGAAAATTCAGCCATATATTTTGCTTTAGAGTACCCTGCTCTGTCTTGGAAACCTCAGCTAAAGATCATTTTCCCTTAGGTCTTAGTCTCTTCCTGATACTGCTTAGCTCTACTGCACATCCATGTATAAGATTTTCTGGTACTTTCTCAGAAATTTACTTCCACATTACAACCTGCTTTCCGTACCAGTCTTTGCCTAGCCTATGTAAAAATTATCTTCTCCACAACGCAATAAGAATAGCTGTTACTTTGCTTCATATAATTATGAAGCTTTAAATATTGATGCAACTATTACAGAAAATCTCTGTGCAAGGTTATCTGACCTGACAACAAGTTTCCTTGGAAGCGACATTAACCAGGAAAAGTTAAGAGACCTGTTAGGTGAAGAGGTTCTGCTTTCTTAATGGCAAGACAACTTTTATCATGTCTTGGTGAGAAAGTCCACCCTCTCCATGTCCTACTGACTTCCTTTCCTGCACTCAGGCTACACCTTTCTTATTCTGTCAGATACAGAGAGGCCACTTTCAAACTCACATGTGCCAGACCATTAATAGAAATTCTCAGTCTGCTGTGATTATTCACCCTGTGAATGACAGGTTCCTCCCATGCACTCATAACACTTGTTACGATGGTTGTTTCTAGAATAGTCATTCATAAACTGACCAAACAGAACTGTGTGCTGTCCACATGGGACCAAGCAAAAGAAACATCACTGTTGGATTTATTTTTTAACAGAAGCCTGAATGGATATGGGATTACACCTGTATTCAGTGGGCTAAATTCAACACAGATACACTCACATAGCATATCACCCATACTGATTTCTAGAAGAATCCATGCTGATTTCTACAAGAATCAGAGCAGATTTTGGCCTTCCATCTCATATCTGTGCCATGAACACTTCAAATAAATCTAACAGGCAAAGATAAAACACATAGCCATTAGTCACAGGTTTCCCAGGATTCCCTTAGGAACGCAAAGACATTAACTTATATCAACATACTTCTGAAGAGTGAGGCTCAAGTTGTGGCTGGCTGACTTGATCTTGTTCTGGGCCTCTAAGTGGGTCATGCTGTCAGCGTTGACTCCATCAATGGCTACCACAAGGTCCCCTTGGTTCATCTGTGACTGTGCTGCCTTGCTGCCAGGGGTGATCTGTGTGGGAAAAGAAAGGGAGGGGAAAAAAAAAAAGTCGTATCAGGATAAGTCATTCTGTGCACAAAGCACTTACAGAGATTTTGTCCAGAATTATAACGAGGAACAGATACAGCAATAAATAGAGTAATACATACAGCAATAGCCGTATCTATTATTGTATGGGTGGAAAAACAAAATTTATGGAAATTAATCAAATTCAAAGTTAACTCACATTCCTGCAAAGGTCCAGGACAATGTCTACTTGTCATCACTTCCATTTTGAGAGGTTAAGCCCAATGTAGTAGTTCCCTTGCCACATACTATCTCCTCCTCAGGGGGATAATTATCATTAGTTGTATTGGAGTCGTATATAGAGACATTACTCAGAAGCAGAAAACTGATCACCCACTATCTGCTGCATAATTTTATCGTATTTTTCCTCCTAAAAGCCATTTTTCCCAAATTAATTCATTACATTGAATGGACAGAAAATGAATGTGTGTGAGGGGCCTTGGACATGCTTTGCTTCTTTTATAGCGAGCTTTATAGGAAATCATTCTGCTTAACCTCACCCACATACAACTATAGCTGCTTTACCAAGACAGAACACTACATACCCGAGATGACCTCATCAACCTGGTGGACCTGACACTCCAAAGACAGACCAGCACTTTTAGAAAGAAGAAGCCACAATGCTTCAACTACAAACCCAACTACTGAGACAACAGTTCAGAAATTCTGGTTGTTCGCTGTGGCATCACATTTTGTTAGTTCCAGATGCCTTGTGGACTGCATCTTCTCCAAATGGACAGTATCCTGACCTCAATTTTACACAGCCCTCTCAGCTTGCATCTGGATGAGATTGATACAGTACAGCTACTTATGAAACTTGACTCCTTTAGGGAACTCCAACTAAACCAGAAGAGCCTTCACATACCATCAGCCAGACAAATTTTAGTGAGCACATCAGAGTAGTCCTCTGCTCTCAGCACTCAGTACTTAAAGGGTACAGACATAAGCTATAGGTCTTTGCTCTTATTTTCAGGTACTCACTTCCTTACATTCCTCACTTCTAAAAAAACCCCAAGGATGATTTAAAATGCCACAACAAAGGCTGCAGTCAACAACTCTGTTCCTTCAGCACAGTAAACATAAAAGAAAGATGTGTCTGATTATGAGCCACAATTCCCCTGTGAATTCAGCCAGGCTGAAACCGTGAAGTTAAATTCCTAAGGAAACCAAAACCCAACACAAATCCAAACACTTTTCCTCATCAAGTGTAAAGTGAAATTCCTTAACCTGCCTTCCCTAATATGACCTCAAAACACTTAAAAATATGTACATACTCAAACAAAAAAAATTCCTTCCAAAACAATTCCCTAGACTATTTGTTCGTGCTCTTCCACTAGCAAAGAAGAAAAAAGGAAAAAAAAAATCTTTCTTAACGCCCCATTAAAGGGGCTCAGTATTGAGGCTGACAGTCTAAGTGTAATCTGACAATGGGAGTTGCCAGTTTATTAGAACATGAGCTCTAGCATCAGGGTGCTAGAGCACAGCACCCTGAATACTTGAGGACTCTACTGAAAAATAGAGATTACTTTGGAATTAGGCACTGTAAATAACATCCCAGATCTGATCTGACTGGAAGAGACAGCTTTCTACACCTTTTCATTAGAGATAAAAGCAGTAAGAATTCTACGTTTTCTGAGTGAAGGACAGCCACAGATAGAACGTTCTCATGTGAACTAAGAGAGTTGACTGATAATGGCAGTGCCATTCCCTGATGTATTTTTCTGGTGTTAGGGAATTGAGGGGTGGGGAAAGTACTTCATGGTAGTTTCAATGATAGAGTTTTATTCTGCAGTCTAGTGCACCCTCATAGAAAGAGATTAGTAGAAAAGAAATTCCTATTACAAGCATTGCTTTCCTAACCTATTATACAAACATTACCTCCTATGCATTTCATTGATTTGCATTGTACGAAGTACACAGAATCTAGAAGCCTGTAAAGAATACGGATTATTCACATACCCACATGTACTTGTATAGTTACTCAAAGACCCTTCCCTGCTCAGTCTTTCAAATATGTCAACAAACAAAATCTGCAATAAGATAAGAGGTCAGGAAAAAGTGTGAACAAAAGCCAGACAAATTAGTCAGTAAGACTTGAATTCATCAAGTAGGCCACTTTGTTTCTCAACTTATCTTTTTTCTCTATTAACATAAACTGTTTGTCAGTCAGGTAGACACCAAGGCTTGAGCCTTCGTGATAAAGATTTATCAATAAATAATCTTTACACATCACTTTTCTAAGACACCACTATTTACCTCCTCAGGAAACATGCAAGTTCTTGTCACAAAACGTTACATGTGCAATGCTGATACTTCCAGTCTCCAGACAGCTGGTTCCAAATGCTGGGAACTCCCTCTCTTGCTCATCAAGAACAAAGACTAGTTTTTGAACTCAACCCAGTTACTGCAAGTCAAATTTCTGCTTTGGGAATTTGGGAATTCTTACTTAACACATACATCTCTCCTTCCACTCCCCAGTGATGCTTCAAACAAAATAAGTCCAGAGAAGCAGAGCTTCCACAGAAAAGATAAAGAAGTCTGGACCTGGGACTAGCTTAAGATACTGTAATGTATTGACTTCCCTCTCCAGTTTCTCTGATTTCTGCTTTTTCAAGCCCAAAATGTAAATATTATATCTTAAAATAAAGCTACAGCAGGTAACTATAACTATCTTAGAATTACAGTCAAATAGAGAGGGAGGGGATGGTTATACTAGTGACCTATCTCACTTACTCTAGTGGGATATTTTCTGCTTAACACTTTTAGAAAACACTACCTAAACAAAAATACATATTCATCAGAAGAGTCTATCAAACAAAAAGTCCTGGGGAACTTTGAATTTATGATTTATATAAATTTCTAACTATGGCCATTGCAACACCCTTTCTGAGGAGAAGAGCTACAGGAGAACCATACTGGGAAAGATAAGGAAACAGTCTCAATCATGGCTTACCAGCCAGTGTTGCTTTATTTGAAAAGGAAAGGAGAGGGTTTTGTAGTCATCTCTTCAGCCAAGTATAATGGTAACACATTCTGGGCTGGATTCTGTCGTACAGCTCTACCTTTCCAATTTCCATTTCAGGGGCCAACACTCCATTAATGTCACATTACCTCCAAAATTCAGCTTATCCTAGCTTCATAGACAGTAAGAGTCACAAGTATAAAAGATGGGTCTCGTTTATCATGTCTGTAATTCAGAACCATAATAAGTATCAGGAAAGAATTACTTCTCCCCGCAGTCTTCCCACTGCCTAAGAGCATGCTATGTAGATTATTTGATTCTGTAGAGCTTTATATAGAAGGCATTATTAAAGTCTGGGTGTATAATCTGTATAAAACATTCAAAACAAAGTACAAAGTTATACCTATTTTAGTCAGAAGCTAACAGGCTTCTCTTTGAGACTTTCAAGTGAACCCACGGTGTGCATTTACAGCAGACATTGAGAACAGTCAGTAATTGTTGGGGACAAAATACCAGTGTACAGATGGAGATATAAGGCAGCCAGATCTGAAGTGTCAAGGCACATTCAAGACTATCTTGTTCCCATTTTTAAAGATCCAGCAGAAAGGAATGGAATGCAAAGTGTTTATCTGTTGGTATTTTCCTTTGAAAATTCATCTCCGATCTACTAAAAATTTACTAAATATAATCACAAACAGAGAAAATCTCACTGGTGTCTTTGTGAAAATTTTAGGGATTATTTTCTATTTAAAAAGATTTTTAAAAAATATTTTTAAAATGAAGCTTGAATGTTAATTAACCCTTGGAATTAGACTGCAAATCCAGATCTGCCTACACAGTAAGTTCTAGTTTGCTCTCATCTCCGCCTCTCTTCCACTAACAATAATAACAGAAGTAGAGAAATATAGTAGTGTCTAGGCCAAATATGCATTTTTCAATTCGACCACCACTGTTTTTTTTCTTCAAACATCTCTGGGCAAGGTCTAGACAGCACTATTTCAGAAAACCTTTGTAATAGTCTTAACCCACTTGCTCTGGATTACAAAATAGCTTTCAGATGCTAGGTGTTGCAAATGCCTTTAAGGCTACAGTGAGATGTTCACCAGAGAATCAAGGTATAGCTTTTCTGTCAATTGATTTACAAAATCCAAGCCAGGGTACCACTGACAGATCTAATTCTAATAGTATTTCTCTAGTACCTCAAGCCCAAGCCCAGCCTTCACCTTGAAAAGTCAAGCATCTTTCACCTCTCTCAGAAAAGCAGAACAACGCTTGCTGCTTCAGAGACATGAATTTTCAGCCCTCACAAATTTCCTACAAGGCAGACGTCTGACTTCCAATATCCCCAGCTTAAAGCAAGTGTGCAGGCTGGAAGTATCACATGCTGCTTTCAATGCGCTACAGAGAATTTTTACTACGCTCTGCTGTGAGCTGATCTGTATACTGGGTGAATATATAGTACAACAGTGACAGCTGTGCCCTAAAAAATAAGTCTGCACTGGGTTCAGAGTAAATACTACTTAGCAAGAGCTCTGGGAGGCAGTGTACAAAATGGAGCTGCTGCATCACCTTGAGAACACCACGTGTTCCCATCCAAGCCCCATCAGCTCCACTCCAAAGGGGCAGAGATAGGCATCAGACAACATTTGAGTGGCTGAGTGTTAAAATACTAACGAGCATGCATGTATAAACAGATGGATGGACACAGCTTTCTGGTCCCAAGGGCCTCCTAATTTACAAGGCAGACAAAAATACATAGGGAGGCCTATACAATTAAGAAGGTGTTAATACGGTAGCTTGCAGCATTAGCCAGGGCCTCTTCTTCTTCCAGGACTTGAGCTATGCCTGACCCCTTCCTAACCCCAATCCCAAAATCAGCAAGTTGTATTTTCCTCTTCTCAGTTAAGAACAATGTTTCAGAGAATGAAGTATTCACTAGCCCTAGAAATATGCTAAAGCACCAGGAATGAATACCCTCTCCTTT